AAAGGGACAGAGCCTAGTATGTCCACATGGTCCAGTTTTCAAGAGAAGTCAAGAATCCAAATAGCCCATAAAGTTTCTCAATTTCTAACCTTTGGCAACTGATTTGTGTTTTCTTTTTTTGGACCAAATTTTAACTACTGTGACCCAGATTAAACCTCCAGGCTAAACTTTATTGGAGCCAATTGGGAAACAGTGCCTTTAAAACACCTTAGCTCAGCCCAAGCCACTGAAACAGGCATCATATCTGTTTAATTTGGCAACCAACTGGGGTCTGACCTACAGAAGATCCTTGCACATAGGCTTGCTTTCCACACGGTTTGCTCTCAACTTTTTTCACATAACTGTAGTTAGGGGAGGCCAGAAGTTGAAAATCCTACAGAGTACTCACTGTAAAACTTTAACTTACCCAAAAAGTAGATGGAGTTAATCTCATCACTGTTGCCCTGGATGTGGGGGTTCACCGGAAGTGTGCAGACTGGAGTATCCTCAGGTGTTAAAAGGGGATGAATTCAGCCCCATGCACGCGCGTGTACGTGTGCACACACACACACACACACACACACACACCTTGAGGAACCTTTACAAACTAATCATTTAAAATGCGATGTGCCTGAAGATGAAAAGACCAGGAAATTCCCCAAACAGATTTCCCCAGGTTTTAATGAAAAACATCAGGCCCCAGGCCCTCTTGTCAGGATCCTCCCATTCAATGTTATTCCTTGCTCTCATCCTCTCATCCCAAACTCCCAAACTGAGTCTCTCTCTCTCTCTCTCTCTCTCTCTCTCTCTCTCTCTCTCTCTCTCTCTCTCTCTCCCCCTCTCCCCCTCTCCCTCTCTCCCTGTCTCTCCTTCTCCTTCTCCCTCTCTCCTCACCTAAATATTTCTTAATTGAGCAGTTTGTGGTGGAGCTTCCTTATAGCAGTTTAATAGATTAACTCATCTGAGCCAGCCTCAAATTTCAGATTAAAATTCCTTCATCCCGAAGGCAGCATTATCAGGTTGTTGGAGGCTGTTTTCAAACCTTGGTTTTGAATAGCAGCGGCTCTGCATTAATTTAACCACTAAGCTAATAAGTAGGTTTCGTTTTGTTATGCTAAGCTTTATTGCTTTTCTTTTGATCAGAATGGTGTTGTTGAGCAAAGCAGCAGACAAGGCATTCTTTGATGAGGGAATTAGCGCTCCATTCTTCCTCTATTATTCATAGCGCAGTGGAATATGTAAGTACCTGAGGGTGTCAAAGGAGCGCAGGTTCTATTGCAAAGTGCTCGCCTTGTTTCTCTCAATAGCTGACTATGAGATGATAAACCGCTTAATACACTGTGCTAATTGGATGAGAGCAAAAAGAGATGGGAATTAAGGCGAGGCAAAAGGAGAAAGTGCAACCAGCCTTCAATTCACTCTTTCACCACTTTAACAGCACCAAAGGAGGCACAAGCTTTCTATAAGCAGACTAGAGGTTTTGTGCAGAGATAAAATGAACATGTTAGTGGATTCAAGTAATACACTAATTATTGCACAGTATAAATACCACTACTGGTTTTATAACAGGGAGGTAAACTTCTTTTGAGAGGGTTATAGGATTGGTTGGCAGTGGTGTAGAACCTAATAAGGGCCCAGAGTAATAACCCCCTGGATTAACAAAATTGCTGCTTGTAGAAGTATGATTCAGGCTTTTACGAAGATTTCCGGAGAATGAATAAAAATGACTGAATGACATTTCTTAATGTATAACTGGTAATCGCTCCCTTTTCTTTAAAGGAAAAAAGTATACTTCAAACTGGACCGTTAATAATGTCCAGGGACAACACGATTTTTCCTTTGAAAAATGCTCCCCCCCCCCGCCCCAGGTAGCAGGGTTTCTCCTCCCAACCCCCCCATCCAGGCTGTGGCTATCAGTTAAATATGCAGTTGCTCTGGGGAACTATATATTCCAAAATACCATTTTAGGCTCCATTTAAGACCCCCTTCATTCAGACACACTCGTGTATACACATACATACACGCTCATGTGCACATTTTTTTAGCAAGTTGGGTTAACCAATGTATAATTTCCTCTCCTCTAACATCAACCCCTTTTTACATTTTAGTGAGATCCCTACACTCAAAACCATACTAAACAGAAAACTATGGGTGCTTTGACTCAGTATTGTAATGAAAAACAACAAGAATAAGGATTTGCCCCCAGTTTGGAGAAGAGAATAAGAAGTGGAGGGAGGGGGGCTGATGGGACCAATACCAGTAACTTTAGCTTGAGTTCTCGGACCAGTCACACTGCCTAGTGCATCCTCTTGCTACCTTCTTCACCCCACATCCAAGATGTCAGCCCTCCTTACTGCCCACAGTCCAGCCACGGGTATCGGTGGTAGAAGAACACATCAGATAATATGTACAATGCTCCGTTTTTGCTTTTTGGGCCTCCGCCACATCTGGCTAACCTGTCGGAAAGTGTAGCAAACTGACTTCTCCTTTCCCCTCAACCTTCCCACAGAGACTAGTCCAGAGCTCCCAATCACCCCTCACCCCAAGATGCTGTGGGGTGGCCCTGGCCCTGGGAAAGCAGGTGTTGGGCCATTCTGCCCTGAGCGTGCTAGGAGACAGTCCTGCGGTGAACTGGTCTCTCTGGAACTCCCCAGGGCTCCACATGACCTCCTCCGAGGTGGAAGAGGTTTGCTTAAGTTTGGGGTGGGGGTGGTCAGCCGCTCCCAGCATTGTGACTGCGTTCCCAGATATTGGGGCCAAATTGGGTTGCCATTCATTAATAATGCTCACAATAAGATTAAATCATTCTGGAAAATCTCATAAAATCCCCCTAAGTACGCTCCAGTGGCTCTTTCCAATCCCCATCATTCAGCACTTGGGGAGGTTTGGAAGGAGAAGAAAATTGGTTTCTTTGCTTTTAATGCTGCTTTGAAAAGATACTCAGAGTTTGTCATGCGTGACATGTCACATGTTTAATGTGGACTTGCTGGAAGTCAGGGGGTCTTTAGCGTGCGATATTTATGGGGAATATTAAGTGCAGAATGAGGTCCCTCCAGCTGGGGAAAGTTGAAAGAATAGGAGGCCCTGAACCAGGCTTGTTTGTGGCATCAGAATGACATAGGATTAAGAGTTTGTAAAACAAGGCGAGGGGTTCTCACTGGCCAGTAATAAATGTAATCCTTGGAGGTAATTTCACGCAATTTGCTTCTGCTCCATGGAAGGGTCAAATGAGAAAAAATGACTTAAAAAAGAGTTCATTAACAGGAAGAATGGTACTGTTTCTCGTATACCATCCAACAGGCAGCCTGAGGGAGAAAAAAGAAGCCCTACTAAACAAAAAGCCAAAACCGTCGGAAAATTGATATTGCCCACCTAACTAAATAACTCCTTCCCCCTCGGCTCTCTTGCCCTCCTCGGCCTGCTCCCCAAAGTCCCCAGCGCCCTACTCATGCTAGGAAAGTGGCTTGCGCTCACTATGGGACAGGCTGCAGAATCTTGATTGTTTGCGACTCTCAGCCTCGAGTAATGCCCTAGAAAGTTCCCACCGGGCCCACTAAACCCGGAAAAGAAGCATAGTGGGAGGGGTAGCTGGCAGCCTCTTCCCATGCCCCAGGTCAGGCCCCTGCCAGCGAGCCCCACACTGGCGAGTCCTGGGCCAGGCGGTGATGGAGGGGACCCACCAGATAGCCAAAGTCCTAGAAGCAGCTGGGGGCCAGCGAGCCCGTGGGCGTGCTTCCCAAGGTTTCCGCGGCGGGCAGGAGGTAAGAAAGCCCGGATTGGGTGGGCAGCCAGGGACCAGTGGGCTATAGCGCCCCAGGTGCCCGACGGGCTGGTCACCCCCACCCCCCTGAGAAGTGCAGAACCTGGAGGGCCGCTGACCTCTGTGCGACCCCGTGCCTTCCCCTTGGCCGCGCACACTTGCGCCCCGGGCCATCAGGGGACACGGCCCCCCTCTCCTTCCAGTGCGCGCGCTGAGCTTCACGGGCCTGGGCCCTCGAGAGGCACCGCGCCTCCTGCGGCGACCGAGACTGGCCTGGCCCTTGGCGTGGCGGGGCTGTCGGCCCCAGCTCGGCGAGCCGCGGGAGTCACGCCGCGGCACCCCCCCCCCCCGCCTGCCCCTCTCCCCAAAGGTCTGGCGCACTAATTACTGCAAATTGAAACTAATTAAGCTTCTCTTCCCTTTCCCATCACCCTGGGAGCGTTGGCGAGACCCAGCCCCCGCGGGCGGGCTTCCACCCAGCAGTCACCAAGGGGGCGCAGGCAGGGCAGCGGCGCGGAGGGGGGCGGGGGGGGGCGCCGTTCCAGCCGCAGGGAGGGGTGCGACGAAGAGGCTAAGGATTGCAGATCTGTTTGGGTCTCCTCGTGAAACCTGAGTTGTTTAGATTTTTTTAATGTATACATTTCCCAATGCTTGGGTAAGTGATGTAATGACATTTGTCGACTTAAGATCTGCCACTTGGATACCCCTCGCTGCCTTTCCATCACTGTTTCTGTGTGTTCTTTTTCTCTCTCTCTCTCCCTCCCTCTCTTCTCCTCCCTCTTTCCCACTCTTTCCGTCTGCCTCCTCCCAGCCTGTACCCCGGAGCCCGCCCCCTCGGAAGCAGGGCTGCGACTTCTAGTTCTAGCCATTACCTGTCATCTCGGACTGCGCACTTCGTTGCTACGTGGCACTTTGTACGAACAGCTTCCTTCGCCTTCCCTGCTAAGACTCCAACTCGCTTCAAACGTCTGACTGCACCGTCAGAAACGCCTACTATTCACCCACCTACCCTGGGATACACCCCACCTCCACGGCCCAGGACCCGGGGGAGTTGAGGTGCGGTGGAAAGCACCGTTGTCGCATCTTTAACCTTCATTGGAAACCTGGTCCCTCACAGGATCGGATTCAAACCAGGGGCCTCGGCCAGGAAAATGCAAGTGCAGATTGACCTAAGAGGTGTCTGGAGCCTAGCCCACCCCTGGCCCCTGTAGGGGGCCCTTTTAAGGCCCCACTGGCGCCTACAGAGAGCATCCACACTTCCTATTGTTAAACATATAATTTTTTTTTTATTTTGAGCGTGACACTTCTCCACTAGATAGCAAGGAAAAGTGATAACAATTACACATTACACAAAAGTACTGTACCATTGCCTTTATCTTGAAGGTTTCAGAAGCCTCTACAGTTAATAAGTTAAATAAAGGGCTTGAGTACATAAATATTTGTCTAGGAACCCTACCGTATCTACAACACAGTAAGAATCTACAGGAGGACAAACTTTTACCATACCACGCTGAGTGCAATTGTGTTATAACATTTCAAATATACAAAGCTCTGTTTTTTTTTTTTAATAACAATGGTATGTACAGGATCAATAATCACAGTTTGGTGACTTCAACAGTCCATATTCTAGCAGAGTATTTCCCTTTGGTTTGATATAAAAACCTTGGTTGGTGTATGATAAAGAAGAGAACAAGAACAAGACGCCCCTTTCCTTTAAGTGCACTGTTAGCTATCTTACAAACTCGCATTCACTTCCCTGGTCCAGGCGTCGTGCCGGGCCGCGCTGGGGAGATCAAATTGGAGCGCCAAAATGCTATTTAAAAAAAAAAAGGCAAATAATCAGGCGTCTTGGGGGAGGAAACCTCCCCGGTATTTTCAGCAAAGTAAGAATGGGAGAAAGTGGACGTTCAAGTTGGAGCGAGGTTGGCAGTGGCGGGGGCGGGGGCGGGGACAGGGACAGGGCAGGTGGACAGCCAGCCGAGGAGGTGAGGAGGTGCCACGTCCGTTAGCGCCGAGGGCTGCCTTGCACGCCTCCGGGCTGCTCCGGGCTGCTGCGAGCGAGCGAAGGCGGCTGTGCTCTCAGTGCCGTCTCAGGAGTGTGCTGGTCCTCTGTTTCCATTTGGTCTTGAGTGGTGCTGAGGTGACCTTTCGGGGCGCGAGGGTGGAGAGCAGCCTTTAGCACACCTCCTTGCCCGTGCTGGTGCCCGGCAGGATGTTGAGCTGCGTGAGCTGCGCAGCGTGCTCCTTAGCCTTAAGCCTCAGCGCGGCTATGCTAGAGGCGCGTCTGTCTGCGGCTGCCGTGGCTGGGTCCGCCAGAGCGCCCGACGCCACCGCGCCCTCCACGGCCGGGGTGGGCTGTCTCAGGAGAGCGGCCGCAGTCGACGCGCTGGTCAGGGGGGCCATGGTGGAAAAGAGCCTGCAGGGAGAGCAAACAGCTGAATGGGTCATGGCCTCGGGAGCCGAGCGCAGCGCCTGGGGCGCCCTCTCCCTAGGGGCACGAGGGGGGCGCAGCCGCAAAGATGCGGGGCACGGGGCGGGGCGCAAACGGGTCGGGGCAGGTGGCGCGCCGGGCCACCTCACAGGACTTCACAGAGCAGAGAACTGATGAGCAAGGAGAGCGAGGAACCAGACCTTCCAGAGGGGCCTGAGCCAGGGCCTGAGACCAGACCTGCGGCCAAAAGCTCCCTGGCTCAACGGATCTGTCCTGAGCACGGGGTGTGATCCAAGACAGCGTTCTCCACTTAAGCTATTTGCCAAAGATTGTGCGGACAGAGGAGAGAAAAAGAAGGGGGGTGGGCTGACCAAGACCTACAATACAGACATTGAACTCTCGGGCGCCTACTCAGCCCGGGACTCCTCTTGTCCTGGGTAAGCTGCCCTCGCTTGCTGGCCTTCTAGTCCACCAGCGCAGACCCAGCCTCCCTCTGCACAGGGCCAAACTGCCAACGCCCGGCCAAAGCCTGTTAATTTGCACTCTACTCGCGGCTGTGACCCTCTGGCGGCCCCAAGTCCAGGCGCGGCAACTTTCCCCTTCTTGCCCCAGAGAGCTCCAGGCCTGCGACTCCTGCAAGCAGCTCAAGGAGATGCTCAAGCCTGAGACTGACGCCAGGCCACCGCCTCCGGGGAGCGCCGGGATTACTCTGCGCAGTGCTTCCACCCCTTCCACACAGCAGCGCCCACCTGCAGCTAAGGCCCAGGCTGTGCCAGGCTCCCACCCTCACTGCCTCCCAGCGCCCGCCGGGCTTTCCCGGCTGCCTCCCCCAGGGTTCCGGTTCCAGGCCACCGCAGGGATTTCCACAATTAGAAATGAGCCCACCTGGGCTCGCTCCGCCTCCCAAGCCCACTGTTCCGCTGCTTCCCACCCGCTTCCACACTCTGAATCCAGTAGCCCGGTACTCTAGCCGCGCTGGTGCCCAGTTATCTGTTCTCATAGGAAAAAAGACACTCAAGATTTAAGCTTTTTTTTTTTTTGAAAAGGGCTTCATAACAGGCCCTGATTCCCGTTGGAAACTGAGTCACTAACTACACTTCAGTGCACTTGCTGTTTAGCTTGTTGGTTTGTTACAAGAAACTAATTTTAGTTCGTCTTATTTTTAATTTTCTCTAAGATGATTTTTAAGTGGCTGCGCAGTTGGATGAATCTATTATTTCTTTGTTCTCTCAAAGAGAGATCATTGAAGCTGCATTTGATTTTATTTTCACTGCAATTCCCAACTTAATACATCCCTTCTTTGTTTCTTTGTGTGATCATACTGACTTTTAAATTTCATCATTTGATGCTCATGTAAAGAAAGGGAGTTATCATATACGATGAATTGTTTCTTTTATTTCGTTGTCTTGGGCGCTGTGGGGATCTGGGGTTGTGCATATATGGAAACAGGACATTTGAGTGACAAGGAAGCTAGAGTGTGTACCCAGAGGGACCCCTGACTCTAGGGGTCCGGAGGGCATTAGGAATGTGTTCCTTAGAATGCCAGGCTTTGGGCCCCGTACAAGGACTTTTGCAAAGCTTGAAAACTCATCCCTGCGCGGAGCCCACACCTGGACACATTAGCATCCATACTACCTATGGTTGAGGCTGCTCTTTGGTTTCAAACATAATTTTACAGCTTTCACCAAACAGTTGTCACCAGTGCTGTTACACCTAACTGCCCTCCCCTTCCTGCTCAGTTCCAAGTCATTTCCTTCAAGACTCACATTTTTTTAAAAGTCAAAATTAGAGAGTATTTTCTTTGGCTAAGATCACTCAAGGGTGGGCCAAAGGAAAAAAGTGTGTACCCCCTGTTTGTCTCTGGCTTTCTCACTGACCTCAGTCTCCTCGGCGTGTGTATGAGACAGACAGACAGACAGACAGACAGACAGCCTTCCGAGGCTGCACGTTACCTTCCGAACGCTGGGCTGATGAAGGCCGGGTGCCGGAACACAGCAGCTCCAAGGAAAGTACTCAGCCCGAGCGGCGCCCCACTGGGCGGCAGGCTGGCCGAGCCTGGAGGGGGAGGTAGGCTCGGGAAGGCAGCGGCAGCGGCGGCTGCAGCGGCCGTCCAGGCCGAGTCTAGCGCGGGGTGGTGCGGGGGGAAGGGGCTGGCGTCCAGGTAGGGACTGAGCGGATGCGTGGCCGAAAGCGGCCCGGGAAAGGGCAGCCCCGGGGGGTGGGTCTGCGCGCCAGCCTTCTCCCGTTTGCGCCACTTGGCCCGACGGTTCTGGAACCAGACCTGCAAGGCGGAGAGAGCCCGGGTGGGCTAGGTTCCGGATCCTGGCAAACAGCGCCTTCCTGCGGCGCCCCGACCGGCCCTCCCCTCCACCACGGCCAGCGCCACCTGGCCCCTCTTTGGCCTAGGGTTGCTCTCATACACATGTGGCGCCAAACCGGAGCCCAAACGAGGGCGAGGAGGGGGCGTTATGGGACCAGACCGGGGACAAAGGGCAAACAAACTCTTTCTAGGGGTGTTCCAACTAGTCCAGGCTTCCAAGTTCAGAGAAGCTGTATTTAGAGAGGAGGAACATCGAGTTTTATATGTCTGCACTGCCCCTTCCTCACTGCACCACTTTAGGCAAGTCACTGAAACCCCTCTGAACCTCAGTTTTCTAATCTGTAAAGTGGGGACAGTAAAAGTTTTCCGTTATGAGAAATCAGTAAAATAAGGCAAAAGAAAGCACACATTCTGTGGTGGCTCTGGAATGGGCAGTCATCAAGAGATGAATGACCCATTTTGCTGCATATGTTATGTTCACCTATCTCAGGTTTACCCAAGCATGGGCAAAACCCCTGCTCTGTCCTGAAAGGGGACGCAAAGGAATTTATTTTTATTTTTTTGCAGGAATATTTATTGGACACCTAAGAGCACTGTGGAAAGAAGTGCTCACAGTACTTAGTCAACAGGTACCCGTATTGGGGGAGGGAGTTATCCATTAAATGAAATAGGGGGGATGCCGGCTGCTGTCTGCAATGGCTCTATGCAAAGGCCAGGTTCGGTGCATAAAGAAAACCAGAGGAATAATGAGCAATACCTGGGTACACAGAGGTAGAGGGCAGGATACCAGTAGACTGTTTCCATCTTCATAGCTAAAAGTCCTGTATTTCCTTTTGGGGATGTGGTATTTAAATAGGTAATTTGAATAAGACAGGCTTTGGGGGAGCCTTTCAGCCCAAGGTATTTTCCTAATTGTTAATACAAAGCAGTTTTTAATAGAGACCTTTGAAACGTGGCAGCTACCATCATCTAAAAATAACCCCAGGAGCATGAAATTATTTTTATGTGACCTGCTTATCACACCCACAGCTGAGATTTGCTCCTTCTACCCTGAAGGCATTAATATTTTTAGGGCTGGGTTTATGACTGCACACGAATCTAAAAATTAAGAATGAACTCCAGGGCTATACAGACATTATATTAAAATATGATGTACATTATGCCAGAAGAATGTGCTAAAAATTTAAAGATGTTCATGTCTTTCAAATAGCCACAAGGGAGGGGTTGTTGCTAGCACTAGCTGCTAAGCTTGGTGTGGCTTCTAGACAGCACAGCCAGGGAAAGAAAAATCAAGAATCCGAATCAGTTGGTTATTTAAAATTCTGCAGAAAGGAGGCCCATCCATAACATTCCGTGGTCTTCAAATAGTCTAGTTGTAAACTGCAGAAACACTCCAGGGTGGAGACTTGGAGGCCTGAAAAAGTTAGGCTGTGGATGGGACCAGGCTGGGTGGGCAGCTTTTGTGCCTCCAGATCTGTCTAGACAAGAATATCCGCCACTCGCCACTCCTGGATCACATTGAAAGGGGAGAAGGCGGGGAGCCAGGGGCAGTAGAGGCAGAATGCCCTTAAAGAACGTGGAAACCTTTTTACAGAGGATCGTCTCTCTGGCTCAACTGCAATTATCAAGATGTCCCCATGCAATTCCTCATTATTGAATTAATACCTCTAAGGCCCCCCCAAAGGTAAACGAAAGGACTCTAATAATTCATATTCACTTAATTACATCTTCTCAAGTGAATAGGGCAAGAGGAGAAGGGGAGGGGGCGCTCTCTTTCTTTTTAAAAGTTATTTAACTTTCCCACGACTTGTTCCCCTGAGCTGAAAATGCAGAGTTGCTGTCACATCTCTGTTTGACAATGGAGAAATGTGTCAACAGAAAGGAGGGGACAGGCCTCATCATTAGCCCTCTAATGCAAGAAGCTGTTGTGTATTAAATGAGCCATATGGAATTTATTGTGCTTTATCAGCGCTTGATTTTGACTGTAAAGTGATTCACTCAGCTCCTAACCCAGGGACATCTGTTTTCTGTTGGCCATCGGGGCTGCCCAGTGTTGATCGTCTCTTTGGTTATGAGGCCTGGGTTCGGAAATGCACTCTGGTATGGGGCTGCAAACACCTTTAATAGCATTGCACTCACTCCCTATTAGATCAATGTGGGCTCATTGCTATAAAAAATGGGAAATCAAATAGCATTAGCCAGCTCCTTGTGCGGGGCGGAGGGGAAATCAAACAGCATTTTGCCTTCAAATGGCCCTGTTTGTTCTAGCACTAAGTGGGCTTTTATGAAGCCCGATTGGAGACTTAATCGCAGCCAAATACCTGCTTGGAACTGAGCGGATTTGTCTAACAACCAAATCCATGCTCCATCCCATTATTTCAATCAGAAGTCATCTGTAGATTATTTTCTACAGGGGCCTTGGGACTGGAGGCTCCTGAACTACAGTCTCAGGCCCCTGAAATCACCAGTTCTTTCTCTGGACTCCTTCCTCAGGCTCCCATATCCAGACACCTTCTCCTCCCACCTCCTAAATCTTAATTCTTAAGTATCTTTGTGAGTGTGAGAGAGAGTGAGAGAGAGAGAGAGAGAGAGAGAGAGAGAGAGAGAGAGAGAGACAGTGAGTTTGGGTCTACTTTTCAGATTTTGCTTCTCTTGTTTTTATGATGGGGGCCTCCTCTTCCCCAGAGTCCATCAACCCATCTCTCTTTTTCCCAATGTCCCCCCAGCCCTGCCCCTCCCCCCTTCTTCCTTTTCTGTGTGCAGCTCACCTGGACTCGGGCTTCAGTCAAGTCCAGCCTCATGGCCAGTTCCTCCCTACAAGAAAGCAACACATAGACAAGAGGTCACTGTAGGCCCTAGCAACTCCCTCCAGGCCACCTTCCCTTCCTAGGCAGGCCTCCTATAGTCCCTTGGCGCCTGTCCCCACCCCCAAGTACCAGGGCATTACCAGCCCTTCACTATTGGACTACCAACTGAAAACCTGAAAACACAGGTGGCCAGATATAGAATACTGTGTCTTATAACACACTCAAGTGTGACAAGGTGGCTTCTTGGGTCTATAATTCCACAATTTTGGACACATAGATTATCTGTCCCTATCTTAGGTCAGCACTAAACAGGAATCACAGAGGCACAGGCATGCACAGTTCTACCCTGATTTGTCCTAATACTAAAGGAGACCAGAGCTCAGCACTCAACGAAAACATTTTTTCCTACCCTCTTGGTTTCTTTCTACTTTGTTATTTTTAAAAATTGTCTTCTCTCCTCTTTCTCCCTCTCCCTCAACTCTCTGCATTTTTCTCCCTTTCCCTCTCCCCACCACCCTCCCTCACTCACCCCCTGAGGTCACACTCCCCATTACCCTCTGGAGGTACGTTAAGCTTGTTAAGAGTTCACTGGGGTAATTTTTCGATTAAACAAAATTCTGCGCACCTCCTGACTCCAGTGCCCACTACAAACCCTGCCCATCTCAGGGGAAGTCAATTTAGCTGAAACCCTACCCCATCATTGCAGTTATTACTGCGACAATTAAGGCAAATAGGAAACCATTAAGATGCTGTAGAATGGCTTACGACCTGTTTACCGAAAATATGAGCGCGCCGAGAATAATTGGCTCTCTGCTCGCTAATATGATAGAGCGGGTTAGCCCAAGCCTGGGGACTGGGTCTGTGTTGCCAGTAGACCTCCATTCAGCTCTGAAACCCGGGCATCAGAAGATCGCTTCACCAAGTGCTGTTGGTTGCCACCCCGGCCACCCCACCCCCGCGCCCCACCACAGTGACCATTAGCAAATCTAAAACTTATCTGGCTGCCCCTCCCTCCACTCCCCACCCTGATACGGGCCACAGCCTACCGGCTCAGACTCCTAAACTGACAAAGTTGGGGGTGGGGCGGCAGAGAGCCATACTCCTCCTCAAGCACTTTGGTCCCCCCTCCCAAGCTAAAAACAGGGTGGGCTTGGTTGCCAACTGACAGGGACTCACTTTCTTCTTTTAACACACACATGTATGATGATAAATGTGTGACTGTCCAATTAGCTATTTGATAGCACACACTGATGTTAAATTTATTGAATGAAGGGACTGGTGGAAATGGGAGAATCAAGTTTAGCTCAAGGGGGAAGAAATTTGGCTCAAGGGATAACTAACTTTAGTGCCCCTGCCCCCGTTTCATCTACTCTTTTCTTGCTTCTGGTAAGGCCAGAGTTTGGCAATGACTAACCCAACTACATTTTGGAATTAGCTTAGGACTTCTCAGTTCTAAACATCAGTTTCCCCACTGGTTCAAAAGGGAAAGCAGCTTTCCCTCTCTAAAACACCCACTGAAAAGCTGCACACGTTTGCTGCGAAGAAGCTGCTTGCGGCTTGAAAAGCCTTGCACCATGCAGGCAACGTCTCGGTCTCTTTCTCTCCTCCTCCTGCTGGTGGTGGTGATGTTTTGTGTGTGTGTGTGTGTGTGTGTGTGTGTGTGCGCGCGCGCGTTCACGAGCATGTGGGGGTACCTAACCCTGGCTCCTTGCCTGCATAGAGACCTTGGCCTTGGACTGGGAGAGGAATGTCCCAGGCCTGCTGGTAGTCCAGGACTGCTGGATAACTGGGGGCCCAGAGGCCCCATTACCTCACCAGCATATCTTCCCCAGAAGAACTCAAGTGAGAGCGAAGTAGACTGCACAACCGTCTTGGAGACTCATCCAAAAAGAAAATCCCCCCAACCGCTAGTCTGCTGCCTGTCAGGCCTCCAGCAATCATTGGCCACCGGGTAAACCCGTTTACTGTAAACACACACTGGGTTGAATGTGTGTTGGGGACTGGGACGATGGGAGGACAGGACAGGACGGAGACCAGAGGGCAAGTTTCTGGTTGGTGCCTCTTAGGTGTACAGACACCAAACACTGCTCAGTTCCAACTTCCTTCAGTTATTTCGGGAGCGTTTAAATGACAGAACTCAAATCTTTTTAAAGGCCTTCTGTGCAGGCACGGGCTCCAGCCTCACTGCGAACAGCAGAACAGAACACCGTAAATGACATGCACCAGGCTCCTGGAGCACAGGCAGGGGTTGCGAGCACATGGTACAGTGGCCAAAAATAGTCCCTGCACTACTCTGGCCTTGAGACCTATCACAGGCTTGCTACTTCTTCGGGGATCTGGCTTGGCCAGCAATGCCTGGGACAGTGTGTGTACTCCCCTCCGCCGCCCATGGCACTTTTGGGAGATTCTTGGAGAGGCTGCTGTTTTTTCTTCTCTCCAACTAAAACTTTTTATTTGAAAACGTTCAACTAAACCAACCTTGGGAAATAAAAGTCTATGGAAACCTAAACTTAAATCCGGAGGTGGAGAGGAGGAGGGGCGGGTCATTTTCGAAGAGCAAAAGTGGGTGTTGTCGAAGGCGAACCTTCGCAGAGTCCAGGAGAAAAGTGCCCTGAGTTCGGAGCTCCTATCAGCCCCGCAACCCAACCCATTCTGCCAACCGAGCGCCCTCCCAGCGCAGCCCCCGCGCCTGCTCGGCGGCGGGCGGCCGGGTGGCCGGCGAGTACCTGGTGAAGACGTCTGGGTAGTGTGTCTTCTGGAAGGCCCGCTCCAGTTCCTCCAGCTGGTAGCTGGTGAACGTGGTGCGGTAGCGCCTCTGCTTGCGCTTCAGCAGCCCCTCCTCCGAGTCGCTGCCCGCAGACAGGCACACGCTGTCCTCGCCGTCCTTGCCCTCAGTGTCCTCCGGGTGCAGCAGCAGCTCCTCCTTGGGCGACAGCTCCCCGCCCTCCGTGGCCACGGCGGCGGCGGCGGCGGCGGCGGCGGCGGCCACCGCACCCGAGGCGGCCACAGCGCAGCGCCGGGGCTCCTTGAGCAGCGCGCGGGCGTCGTCCTCCAGCAGCTCCTCGTCGTCGTCCTCCAGCAGCTCCTCTTCTTCGTCCTCATCCTCCTCGTCCTCCAGCAGCTCCTCCTCGTCGTCCTCCGCGCCCGCGCCCGCGCCGCCACCTGCCGCCGGGCCACTGCCCGGGCCGCCGGCCGCGCCGAGGCGCTCGTCCGGGTGCGCGACGCCCCCAGGACCGCTCAGCTCGTCCAGCGCGGGCGGCGGCGGCACGAAGGGCGCCCCGTTTTCGCGGTACGACTTGCTGCGGCTGATGCTCACCTGCGGCGCCTGGCTGATCTTCAGCGTGTCCCAGGCGGCGGCGGCGGCGGCGGCGGCAGCGGCGGCGGCGGCCCCCGCGCCGTCCGGCCGCTCCCCAGGCCGCGCGGTTGGCGGCGGCGGCTGAGGGGCGTCCCCCCGCGGGCCCGCGGTGGCCGAGGCCGCCGCCGCCGCCGCAGCAGCCGCCGCCGCCGCCGCCGCCGCGGCGCCCTGGAGGAGGCGGCCCCCGCCGGGGCCGTACAGGCGCCGCAGCTTGGGCGGCAGGTGCAGCTCGGCCTCGAAAGGGGCGCCGCTGCCCTTGGGGGAGCCTGCGGGCAAGGGACAGCGGTCAGCGCGCTACTCGCCTGCAGCTCCCTCCGGAACAGCCACCCCCGCGGGCCACCAGCCGCAGCCCCAGGCCACCGCAGCCCCGGCGCCCTCAGACTGCACTCCTCCTCCACTTTGCTGGCGCGCTCGCTCTCTCCTCATCCTCTTTTCTCTTGGTTTCTTTCCCTGTCACTCTACCCTTTATTCCTTGTTTCACCTACTTGTCTTATTTTTCCTTTCTCTCCTCTCTTCGTTTCCTGGTCTTTCGCCTTCCCTCGCCCCTTCTTCTTTTCGCTTTTCGCGTGCAATGCCTTCCCTCGCCTTCCTTCCTTCCATTCCTTTTTCTGTTCCCCTTGCTCAGTCTCCCACTTTTTTCTTCCCTTTTTTGGGAAACGGGAGAATCCAAAATCATTCAACAACTTAAAAAACAAATCGCCAACACTCTGAAAACTTTGCACACGATCTCTGCCCGCCACTCCGCCACAGGGGCACAGACTGGCAAGAGGGGCCCAGCGCCGCGGCCGACCCCTGCGGGGCGAAGCGGCCTTGGGTTGACCTGGACCCCCAAAGCCCACAGCGGGAGGGGGGCGGGAGACCTAGCACAAAAGGGGAAATAAAATCACCCTAGCGAAAATGTGCTGGGAAAGGCCTGGGGTGGGGACAGAAGGCGGGTGCAACAGGCACAGTCCGCTCCTTCCCTTGGAGGAAGCGCCTGGCACCAGGTGCCACTGCAGGCTTAAAAAAAAAAAAGAGGAAAAAGTGAGTTTATTTTAAATAGTCATTTCTCCACGATCCGCTCCTGTCTTCTCAGCAGCCTTGCGGCTGGACTGCTGTTTTTAGGATTTAAAAAAAAGCTACACGCAATTCTTTCACTAAAACACCTCTGCGTTCAGGTTAAGACGAAATTTGAATGTAACAGGTTCAGGGCAAGGCGATCGTTCTGAAATTTTTAATTAATAAAACCTTTTACATATCTTTCAACTATTGACCTCTTTTTAAGAATAACAGCAGGGAAAAAAATAGTACCCAGCAGCCATACATTTCATATATCTCAAAACACAATAAGGAGCATTAGGGGAATCCCAGGGAAAGGTTTTCTCTAAAGCTTGGGTGTAAAAGGTCACAAGTAACGTACAGTTTTTTTTTTTTTTAAAAAGATGGCAAAACACCGCATATAAAGAGATCTTCCAAGGAGGAAAGGCCGGGGGCCCTGCCTGGAGACCCCGCCATTGAGCCTTTGAGTCGCTGTCTCCATCAAGTTGTTGCTATAAAGGTATAAAAGGGTAGGTACCCGCTGGTCCTCACCCACTCGCCCTCTTCACAGCGCATCGCAGGCTACAGAAAAGAGCAGTTAAACTACCTATCCACCGTCAGGAGAACCTAAGGGTTCCCCAAGGGAAGCTGGGCCCCTGCATTTTCTGGAGGCAGAGCAGAGAGGGAGAGACAAGTCTCTGGCAAGATGTCCTGTGCTCCTTTGAAGCACCAGGCCTCAGAGTTGTCCCCTTTCCTTCCCTGGTCTCCAACTTGACAAGCCCCAGGCCCCTGGTCCCCCAAACATGAAATATCCAAACCAGTGCCCAGCACCTCTTTGCAGATGCCTAATAGGCACAGCCTTACCTTGCACGGCCTTTTCTTGGTCAGCGCGGCTGGCCAGCGGGGCGGGCAAACTCTGCGCGGCTCCTAGCAGCCGCATTTTGCACGGGCTTCTCCGGCCCAGGATGCTGTCGATGCAGTAGGAGGAGAGCAAAGTTGGAGATTTACTTTTGCACTCCGGCCTGTCGGAGCAGCCCTCCTCCTGGTACTGATTGCTCATGGCTGGGGCTTTTTCCCTGGGCACAGACAGGGTTCGCTGGCTGCCTCTCCCGGCGGGTGGGATGGGTGTGTGTGTGTTGGGGATGGGTTAGATGGCTGGTTATAACGGATATTATGCAATCTTTGCGCCTCCCGGCCTCCCTCGGATGCCGACTGCTGGCTCCCGCCCTGCCCGCAGCCAGAGCTCGCCCTCTCCGCGCTCAGGACAAGCCTTAACAAGTGTAGTGAGCCGCGGGCGCGGAGCGCTGGAGTCTCTCTCCTCCACGTGTTGAGCGGCGCGGTCTGATTGGCTCTCACCAGAGGCCGGGCTACATCGGGCTGTGGGCTCAGAGCAAAGCCCGGACTGGATTTTAGAGGGGCCAGCGGCGTGTGTGCGGGGTGCAGCACTGGGCACGCACCAGACCCAATTTTCCTTTCCTTTCCTTTCTTTCTTTTGTCTTTCTTTCTTTTTTCCTCCCCCTTTTTAAGCTAACAACTTTCCAAGTAGGTCATTCTTTTCCTGCAGATCCTCCCATAACTCTTTAGGGCTGGCCCGAAGCTATTGCTTTTTTGGGTGTCAGGCCTGTGGGTGTGAGCGTCGCACACCTCTTCCACAAACTCTGAGGCTCACGTTTAGGCCGATCCGGCACTTTTGGAAGCCAACTGAGCTTCCAGAACGGTGCCTTGACCTCAGCGAGCCTCTGCGGGGCCAGCGCAAGGGCTGTGAGCAAACAAACACCTGCCGTCTGGGTGTTCCCTTTTCTCTTGTGGCCGAGGCTTCGCGCTGTTTGACTTCGTCCCAAGCGCGGTTGTTGTTCTCTTGCTAAGAGCGTCAACCTGGCACTCCTCTGGGTTTTAAACTCAGAAATGAGAAAAGGCTCCCTCAAAGACAAAGCTCTGCCAGAGGCTCTTGGCCTTCTCTAGAGCACCTACAGAGCGGAAAGAGACATTGGATCACTAGCTTCCAGGACGGGAAAACTGGGGACCCGGTGTGGGGATCTCCTCCATTTCCTGGGACTCTCCTTTTTCCTCCAAATTCATCTCAGTTAAGCTGTCACCACCAGGCTATTCGCCCTCAACAGAGCCTGGGGAACGGAATCCGCGGGGCGGGGGCCTCTGTGCACCCAATGGTGGAAGGAACCAGGGTTCAGCTTCAACCAAATCCAAGCATCTAAAATTCTGAATTTTCATGACCTGGCTCCTATTTGCAAAGGTGAGAGAAGTGAGCCTTAGGGAGAGAGCTTTGCTTCTCATTTAGATAGCTACCTGCGCATCCAAAGCTGATAACCAAGACCCAACTCTGAGGGAAGTTGGGCTAAGCTCAGTCGAGGGTCTGGCTGGTAAATCCTCATTGCCTGGGTCTGGAGCTAAAGGGACATCCAAGGCCCTGAGGCTGTCCGGGTGGGGGAGAAGATAGTGGGTGGCAGAGGGGTCGGAAAGGGGAATCCACTTCGGGTTTTCCTCTCTCAATCCCCCTCAGCGTGTCAAAGAGAAAAGCGTTTTACAAAGGATTATACTTGAATCACTTACAGTCAGTATTTAAAAATACAAGGAGGCATAACTGAAATTTTGCCCTAGCCATAAACAACTGCATAACTCTTGGATGCTAGCGGCTGGGTGGCGGACAGATCGGACTGGCTTGGCAGGAGGATGCCAGACACAATTTGAGGGACATGAGGAATTGGGAACAGGCACATTAATGATACTAATAGGAATGCTATACTACTTACTATTAAAGAGAGGAGCAAAAGGTCTCTCTCTGTCTGTGTCTGTGTTTTTTTCGGTTTTAGTTGGATTCTCACCTCTTTTCATACACTTGGATAATGAGAGTGAAGTGGGGGAGGAGCAGAGGAAAATCTGAGCTATTTTGACTTTGATTTTCTTGTTTAAGTCCCCTGCGGTTCCAAAGTGGTTGGGATCCACTCCTGCCTTTCCTACATTTTTTTTTTTTTTTTTGTACTCATCAACAGTCCGGTGTTTCTAATAGTGTCCTATTCAGCTTTAAACTAACGCTATGCACGCTGATTCCTTCCCCCTCTCCTCCGTGCTCTTCCAGACCCGCAAGTCCAGCCGGGCGACTAAGTCTCCTTGCAGCTGAGACGCGTAAAGACGCAAGAGTTTCCACCGGGTCTCCAGCCGCGGACCTTCGCTCGAGTTCCTGCGGCTGGCCGCTGGGAGAGACGCAGGCACTTTTCCCTCCCTGGCTGGCCCCGGGTCGGAAATCCAAAAGACCCGGCTGCCAAGTGGCTCCGTGACATCAGAGTCGGCTCCGCACACGCAGGGAGTGGGTTGGAAATGAGTCCAAGAAAGATCGTGTTGAACAAAAAGAGACACAAATGCAGAAGTCATTTCTGAAAGCCCAACGGGATTTCAACCCTCTCCGTGGAAGACTTGCCTCCGTCCTCCTCCTCCCCCTTGTGCAGCTGTTCTTCTTTTTAAAAAAGTCGGACTTTCTGCTGGGGTGTGTTCTAATTTTAAGCATCCACTGTAAAACAGGAGGTTAACATAGAATTTCTGATTCTGACTTAATGATCCCCAGAGGTAAATCCAACTCTATTAATGGACTATAAAGTATTTCTTTAGGAGACCCGTGTGAAAATACTAGTTTTATTTGTTCTGCTTATTTTATTTTATTTTTGGTATTTTCTAATCAGTCTCCCCAAGGAAGGATGCTGTTGGAAAGGCACGTCTACTCAACTATAGAAGAAGGGCCTGACCTAGCTCGTGCTACACCCAGCAGCCCTGCAATTTGTCACCCAACTTCAAAATCTACAGCTGGCTCTTGCTATTCCCCAGAGATTAAATTTCTAAAAAAAATTACAGAAAACTTTTCCAAGGTACTGGATGGACTGAATCAGCGGTCATCTCCACAATATCTAGTCAGAATATGGGTGTAGGATGTATATGTGTGCTACCCTATACGTCAATTTAGAAATAAGTCGGTGCCTCAGTATAGGAAGAATTTAATTGGTGCGTTGTATAGATAGACTTTTAAGAATTGGGTCTAGGACCCTGTGTAAAAGAACCTATAGTTTAGCCCAATTCAATATATACTCTGCCAGCAAAATGAAGTTTCAATTCATTTTTCCACTTACTTTCTAATAAAAAATAATTTCATTTTAGTGATAGTACTCATATTCATACCTTTTCATAACTCCTGGATCGTCTAATCTCTACATCTGTAACTGTTGGTTTGCTTTTCCTGGATTGTTTGGAAAACAATGGTGTTCAGATCATTTGCTTTTAAAATAAGCCACTAAAATAAAAATGACAATCATGGTTGGAAGTGAGGGTCAAAAGTGTTTAAAACTGTTGTTTATAGTAGAAAATGGGGCTTGTCCCAGAAGTGGAAATAATAATTACCTACAGGAGGTGAATGAAGAAACCCCTTTCTTTTCTGTGGTGAGAGAGCTAATTCTACATTGTAGTTTCAAAATTATATTTGCAAGAAACTCAGGATAAGGGGGTGGCAGTTAGATGTCATTATCCGTGGGGGGGGGATGTTTGGAGGAGAGTTAACCTCACACACTTTTCATTTGAGATGTTTTAATTTATTGTGCAATATACACATACATAAATAAAGCTGTAATGGGCTTCCAGTCACACCGGATGGCTCAGGTTCCCTTAAATTATGCTCAACCTCTTCAAAACATATATTTAAACAATAGAAATAAACTTCATTGGAGTCTGGCGACCAATTTGGAAGCCATTGGAAAGGAAGACAATAAGTCCTGATTACACGCAAGGATTCTCTGTGATGTGATATCCCCTTTGCCAAGTCATTTTGCTGTTTTTTTTTATTTAATTTCTTTTTTTTTTTTTAACAAACTTTCATTCATTTATGGTCTTCCACAACCTGCTAATTTAACACTGGAGCGCGTTATTGCAGTGTTAGGAGGAGAGAAAGAGGAGAGAAAACAACAATACTGCAATGATCCAAATGATACAGTAGAATTATAGCAATTATAGTTCTACTTGTGGAAGCAAACCTTGCTGAGATCAGGCAAACAAACTGAAGCCTTGTGAGGATAACAAGCGTCAGGATTGACAGCCAGTGCTGGGAAGAGCCAGAGGGCACAAACAGAAATATTTGCCTCCCCCCACCCACCTTAACTCCAACCAGTCAAGGTTAACTTCCTCAAATGTTGCTTTCAGAGTCTTAGCCACTTCAGGATGTTCAATTTATGCACAAATTGAGATCTCTCCTCCTGGAAGTCTGCTAATAGGAGGAAATGTAACATAATCCGCTTGGCTAGAATTTGTCCCTCTCCTTTTCCGCCCTAGTGTGCCCTCCACTTCCTATCCCTGCCTCAGTTCTCCCCAGGCTGCTGGGATCTGTCGGCGGATGGGATTTGTTTGTTGATGTGTTTTCAAAGGAGCACCCTGTGGAAAGACACTGTACAAAGGGGCCGATAAGTTGGATTTCCTCGTGTTTGCCAATGTTTCCCTCTTTGGCGTGTCCTCCGCCTGAGCGACGGGTTCCACCATCAGGGCTCGGCTTGCCGGGAGAAATCTGTTAGGAAGCAGCATTTTTTGGAAGCATCTTGAGGACCACGGCCGAGCCCTCAAGGTATGGACGTGTGGATGTGATTACTGTGTTAGGACAACTCCCTGCATTTGCAAACTCTGCTACTCTCTACCCATCAGCCGCAGGGCCAGGGGGTGGAGTGGGAACTAGAAGGCAAACAGACACCTTGTCCTCTAACTGCCATCCAAGCGGAAACTGAGGTTTTTTCAAGCTTTCTTCCAGGCATAAAGCTGGACGAGATGGCCGCAGCCTGCCTCCAGTCTGTCCACAGAATACAGGGCGTCCGTTCCTTTCAACCGGCAAGAAGCAAGTGGGTTGGATTCCAAGCTGTCACCCTGAATCCTTTGGCAGGAGCCAGCATCTCCTGCCGCACCCCCCACCTCCAAGGTTTCCAGAGCTCAGAGGGAAACTTCTTGCGGCCCTGGGATCCCCGTTATCTGCTTTCTTCTCTCCAGTGCCCGATGGCTGGACCCAGAGGCAGGCTTTACTCTGTACTTGCTGCTCCGGGCGACCCCGGACAGGGCGAGGGTGGGTGGGCACAGGTTAGAACTCCAGTAAGGAGCAACAAGGGTGCCAATTAGAGCTTCGGTCCGGAGGCCTCTAGTCCTCCGGCTCTCGCCGTCCAGTCCCCCCGCCCCCCACAGCAGTACCCCTGTGGAGCTCGGCTCAGCGCCGCGGCCAGAGTGCGCCCCCTAGCGGGGGCTCTGGGTAGGCCGAACCCTCTCCGCTGCAGCCTCTAGGGACTGAAGTTGGCAGATCCAAGTGATCCGGCAGGAATGAATGGGGGAAGAAAACAAAAGCCTTGGAAACATTTCCAAGTGTTCAATAAAAGACCCATCTGTACCTTTCTTCTCCAGCGCGTTCGTGGTTAATGTCCCCCCATGAGCGCGAGAGGGGAGATAATTGCCGGGTGGATTCTTGCTGGCGAACCTCAGGAAACACTGGACCTAGAAGTGAAATAATTGGGGGTGGGACCAAGGTTAGCGCTCTGGGGATGCGACACCAGGCGGAAATCTGAGTCTGCAGTCTCCAGGGTGTTCCTGGAGGCCTAGCGGCCTGCAGGCTCAGATCCCTCACTGCTGAGAGGCCATCTGAACAGAGCTACTCTGAGAGTTCTTTTATTCGAATTCGATCTCTGGGACAGCCCTACACTGTGGCTCTGTGATTGCTCCCCACCTGCTGTCTCTTGATTACTCCACCTTCTGATTGTAAATTCGCGTTCAGATTTTAGGGTCCCCACCTTCTGATTGTAGGGTTTTCTCCACTTTCTCTGATTCTTCCACCATCTGTTTGAAGCACCCCCCCCCATGGCCCTGTACCTTTTGGAGGGATCCTGGCGCGCTTCCCGCACTCCTAGCAACTGCGTGATGGAACCTATACATCCCAGGTTCCTCTACTCTATCTCCTCATACATCACCTGCTCCTTCTTGATCTGACCAGAAATTGAGAAAAAAGAAATAAACGTCAGGTTGCTGTCCAGCTTCCTTTGATTTGTACAAGTTGGAAATGACTGTGTTTCCATGAAGCTTTTAACAACCTCTGATAAAAAGTTACCGAGGAAGCGTTTTGACAAAAGCCGACTCCCTCTTCAAATCGATCTATAATTTATTACTTCTGCACTGTTAATCCTAACTCATCAATCAGAAAAAAGCTTCTGAAGTCCTGTAGTCTGTAATCTCATGTCCTCAGACCTGCAGGCTTTTAAAGTCATGCTAAGGCCAACAAAACATTTACTGCATAAAGCCTAGAAGGAAGAATCCAAAAATAGGAGCGCTAACAGCTCTTTAGAGTCCCGTATTTTGTGCTGTCTTGCTAATTGGGAAGTTCAACATGAGGCTTTCCCTGCCCATACAAGGCTGGTGTTTCAGAAGGGGTGGGGGAGCAGATGGAAAGGGTCCTATGAGAAGGGAGGCGTGGGTGTCCCCGTGTTTAATTAAGAGTTGCATTGTGTGGAAGGGAGGAGGGAAGATGCCAGGGCTGCACAGAGCTTCAGCACAAAATAACCTGCAAGTAAGGAAAAAAAAAAAAAAAAAAAAGCTGTGACTAAGAAGGAGCCGGCTCTGGAATAGATACTATTAGTACCAGAGTGTTTCTGGAATAAAGATATCAAATTTCCTGCGCAAATCATTTAGCCGGATCAGAAAACACAAATAGCTGAACAGAAGAGGGGGAGGTTTGAAAAAGGCAGAAGGGGGGAGGGGAGGGAGAGAGAGAGAGAGAGAGAGAGAGAGAGAGAGAGAGAGAGAGAGAGAGAGAGAGACCCCGGAATAAAAAGTAACTGCGCAAAAGGGTTCGCACTGAACCCTGTGCCAGGCGACTTCTCCATACCCGGAGCACTTCTGTCCTCCCCTAGCGGCTCCCACTGCGTCCCCGACTTTCTGGCCCTCCGGAGATCCTTTTCCAGGCCACCCCGCCTCTTTGAGGGAAGCAGGCCGGGTCCCAAGCTGAAGTTAAGCGGGCGACGGTGGCGGAGAGCTGGAACACTAGGGCCTAGGGGCCTGCTGCTGCGCCCAGGCTCAACCGCGCACCCCGACGGCGCAACCTCGGGTCCACCCCGAGCCCTGGCCAGCGCCCTCCGCAGGGCACCGCTCGCCAGAGCCAGCGGCGGTTGCCCTTCCGCGGAGAAGGTGTTAGCACCCAGGGGCGTCCGGCCTGAGCCGCTCTGCTGGAATCGAGGACTCGGATGCCCCTGGTCTGGTCTCCAGAGTCTCAAGAGGAAGCAGAGGCAAGACCCACCGGGGTGACCTCGAAGGCGCGGGTGACTGGGTGGCTGGACCAGCGCGCCCGCAAGAGGGCGTAGGCGGGGAGGGCTTCGGGAGACTAGAGGCACCCAACCTCGAGTGGGAACAAGTCAGAAAGGTCTTTGGGGCGCCCACTCCGCCTGCCCCTGGAAAATGACCAGAATGACCATGGTAGCAGCTGCGCGCGTGGCCAGGGCGCGGGGGAGGGGGCGGTTTCGAGGCGGCAAAGATGGAAGGGCGAGCGCAAATAATCTACTCGGATGCACTTGCACGGAAAATGAGCCGCAGCAGATTTTCTTTGGAGGAAGGATAAATGAGAAGACCTCAGATTTGGTTTCTGAGCGGGAAATCGTAGATTCCTCACAATCTCCTCCTGAAATTTAGTGCAGTGCAGATTTATGCAGAGCCAAAGAGGTTGATATCCCTCTAATCAACACCCCATTCTTTTCCTCCTGGTCTTAGCACAGTTCCTGGCACCCGGGGGCAGCTTCGGAAATCTTTACTGAATGGGCAAATTGCATTGTGGCCCTAAGAGTGTAGAAGACACTTTGATTTGGGTAGATGGTATTTGAGTTTTGCTTCTCATGAGGTGGATACTGGCCAATCTTTCTCCGTCCCTCTGTCTCTTATTTGTAGGCCTTGTTTTCTTTCCTCAATTCTCCCATTACTGCCATTGGGGCCATTTCATTGTTTTTTACTCCTGCGGTTTAAGGTTTGTAAGGAAATTAAAACCAATGCGTTTTTACTCAGAATCCCAGAAGGGCTGGGGAGAAAGGAGATTGGAGCCCACAGTTCAAGTGAAATTTAGACCTAGGAGTGATTTTTACTTATTTCTTTTCATGGATAATAGAGAGTTGGCGTTATCTGTCACTCTATGCTCTCTCTAATAAACAGTTCCAAGACTATAATCTAACAGGTGTAAAATTTCCCTTTTCTGAGAAATGAGGAGACCACCAACACTATCTTTTAAATACTACAAATAGAAAATGCTGTTGACAATCTTCCACACTATAAAATCCATTCCAGGCCTGCTTTTCTCCCTCTCATCTTCTTTCTTTTCTTTTTCTTTTTCTTTCTTTTTCTATCTCTCCTTTCTGCCTCTGTTCCTTTCTCTCCTTTTTCCTAGTATAGGTTTGCCTTTTGGGGTAAAGTGATACGTGCCCCACATTGTGTTGTAAACAAAGATGGCTGGTTGAAATTCTGACCCCACCCTCACCTTCACAAAAATATCCAGAAAGGGTTTTTTACTAGGCCAACAAGAAGGGGACTGATCAGCAGAAAGCATGTCTGTCTTCTTTTATCCATTTCCTTTATCTCCTTCAAAAAGGAGGAAAAGAGGAGAGAGCTATCTGAAGACTCCTGAAATTTAGGAGGTCCCCATTTGAGGTCCCCATTCTATCTGGTATAAGTTGAGTCCAGGCTTCCTCTCAGAAGGATTTCATTTATGGTTCCCTCTCCCACCTTCCAAGCATCCATCTCTTAGGATCAGCTCCTACTTCATAGAATGAAAACAAACAAACAACAACCCTCACCCAGAAATGTTTTCTCAAACCCAGGATGGGAAATTAGCCAGGAAATGCTGCTCTTCGGGGTCATCATATCTTCTCCATACCTTTTTCTCTCTTCCCTTCTTTCTTCTTCAGCTTTTCGGTTGAAGCACTTTGATATTATTTATATAAATGAAAGGATCTTAGAGTAACATTTTTATTGCACTGCACTAAGGGGAGATTGAACTAGAACTTTGAAAATTGTGACATTCCAATGAGAGGTATATTAAATTGCTTCACAACAGTTTTGAAGGCATCTTTGGTATTTTCTGTAGTGGTAAGTGAAACAAAGGATTTCACAGCCTGTTGGGTTTAATACTATATATGCTCATATTTAAGCCTTTATGCTCTTAAATAGAAGGAAGGAGAAAGGGAGATGGTGAAATAAGAACAGAGGGCGATGGAATCAAGGCGCTACTCTGAAGACAATGCGGATCATAACGGCTGCTGCACACTGGGTATTTCCTTGGTGCTGGAGTGCTAAGTGTTTTCATAGTGATCAGTCAGTTCCCCTGACAGCCATGCAGGGATGGCTCAGTTATGATCTCTCTTTACAGATGGGGAAACTGAGGCCCAGAAAGGATGACCAATTTTTTTCGGAGATTTGCCCAGCTTTCAAACTAAAAGTCTTGTGTTCTGGGCAATCCCTCAGTCCTGGGCTAGCCAGGCTGGTTGGTTAACATAAGCACAGAAAGAAGTAGTTTGTCCCAGGTCACAGGGATCGATCTGGGAGGTGAGTGAACCCAGGAAGCCTAACTCCAAGACTGCTGCCTCATTTTGCGTCTGTTTCACAGACTGGTAAATGGAGCATCAGAGAGGAACTGACTTGTCCAAGGTCACATGACTGAACAGTAGTGGACAGAGGACTAGCCTCTGCTGCTAGTGAGTCAGATCTTCTTTCTGCTTCCGGCTCCTTTTGAAAAGAGTTTTGGGAGTGAAGTGGCTTTTTAAAGATTTCACTAATTAGCTGGGTGTAGTGGCACATACCTGTAGTCCCAGCACTATCTGAGAGGCTGAGGCAGGAGTTTGAGCCCAGCCTGGGCAACTTAGTGAGTTAGCCACAACCTGCCTCAAAATTAAAAAAAAAAAGTGCCAGGGCTGAAGGTGTAGCTCAGCACAAAGGCCTTGGGTTGAATCCCCAGTACTGCTTAAAAAAAAAGTTTTACTTTTTATTTTGAGATGGGGGTCTTGCTTTTCTGCCCCAGCTTGTCTTGAATTCTTACTCTCAAATTATCTGTGCTTCAGCCTCCTGGACAGATGTGGCTGGAAGTGTACCAGCACACCCAGGGGTTTTTTGGGTTGTTTGAGATTGGGCCTTGCTAGGTAGCCCAGGCTGGGCTCAAAATCTCTGCCTTCCTGCCTTAGCCTCCCATTCTGCAATTATAGGTGTGCACTACCACACACGGCTCCAAATTAGAGATAGAAATAAAAAGCTACACAAAGAAGAAAAAAAGATAACATCCAAGATAGACACATGCCACACTGAGCACATATACCACTACCCGGCAGTCGTAGAATATATAGGAAATGGAGACCAGCTATATTGGAAACACAGTAATAATGAAAGA